AAATAGAAACCCAAGAGGTCGGGGAGGGGAGTAAAATTGAAAAAAAAAAAAAAAAAATTCTGGTACCTAAGCCCATGTAACTGAAAGATATCTGAACTGGGAACATATGGTCTATTTTCATTAATTAGATCAGTAAACATGGGCAATTCTGGCATCTCTGCATCCCAATATCCTCATCTGCAAAATGGGCATGCTCTCAGCCTTTGCTTGGAGGAACAGCTTATGTGCAGTGGGAGGAAGAAAGAACAGAGTGAGAAGATCTGTGTTCTAACCCTAGCTAATTAGCCATGTACCTGCAAGGCAAAAGAGCTGTGCACTTTGAGCCTCTATGCCCAATATCATGCTGTAAAAATGAGACAAATCAACTAAATAATCTCTAAGTGTCCTTCCATCTCCGACAGTCCATCAAAAACATACAAATGTCCTGCAAATCAGATATTTTTCCAGACTGTAGATGCTGTGCAGATGCTACATAAGTCCAACCATAGCCCTGCTTTTCAAGCTAAAACTATCCCTGCCCAAGTATCCCCAATCATCCCTTCTGACTTGTTGCTTTAACTCTAGAAATCAGACAGACATCACTCCAAAATTACCTTTCTACCCAATTCAAGTTAGGCCTCAGGTGGGAGAAAAAAAATCTCTAAATTTTCTAAACACAAATAGAATTTTTTCTCAAGCAGAGCCTAGTTCTAAATCCCACTGTGAGGAGTACTCCCCTGGGAAAGCAGCTGTCCACACCCCAAATTAAAGCAACAGTGCTCCCAGTAAAATTCCCATCACCGGGCAAGTGAGCCAGTTGTCAGGGCTATAAACCTAGGGTCTGGGAGCAGAAATGCCATTCGCTCCGGCAATAATGATATACTCACAGGCAGCTGGCCCTCCGCTGGCTCTTACTCCCTCTCACACACCAGGAGTCCTGTTGCAAGGAGGTGATCCCAAGGCCAGAGGGGAACAGCACTGAGACATTCTCTTCTCAGCTTCCAGGACAAGGGGCAAAGGAATGGAGGGGAGGGATGGAAGAGGGGTGGGGGAGGGGAGAGACTTGGTTTCTGGAAACAAGAATTCAAGTCCTGCTTCTCCTAAACCCTGAGTCACCTCCTTCTCTTCCAATAGATCAGTGCGGTGGGTAAACATTTCCATATATGGGGAAGCAGGCTAGAGGATGTCAGAAAAATCACCCTTCTGTCCTCTGGCACTTGAAGAGCATACCCCACTTAAGACAGAATTCCTTACTCGGAGTAAATGATTAACTCCAAAAGAAGTGGAGTCTAAACTGTTCTGCATGCTCCCCCACCCAAACAAGGGAGGGACTAGTTTAAAAGTCTGTAAGCTCACTTTAGGGATGGGGTCATGGGAGAATACAACTACATTTATGAAGTCATTCTATTAATTCAGGGTAAGGGGAGGTATCTGGAGGGATTCACCTGAAGAGGTCACCAAGAATCCATCTACAGATATTTTAATGACAAGTAAGTCTAAAACAATCCCTACTCTCTTGGGCAGAGAATCCTCCTGGGAACTTATTTTTGTGTAAGTTCTTCATAGGATGGATAGCAGGTGGGAAGACCCAGAACAAAACCAGACTTTCAGGGTTCAGGGAGTGTGGGTCAGGAATAAGAGTGTGGAATGCCCCATTTAACTTGTAAGGTTAATTCTAATCTAATGTTCCTGAGTAATGTTCAATGACTAAATTGGACCAGTGAAGTCAGTCAGGAATGAATGTGATCTAAAATAACTCGAGACTAATTTAGAGGAGGAGAAAGGAAAGAAAAAAGAAATACTGGGGGAAACAGTGGGATGGGTAAAAAGGGGTCTGCTCAGCGAAAGGAATCCATATCTTGGCTTTCTAGTGATTCTATTTCTTAGCATGATTTTGTTCCACTATTGGCTCTAAAGGCTTGTGTAGGTCAGATGAGCCATTTTTTTCATAATTACCGCCCACTTCCTAGCTTTTGGGCCTGCACTGTGAAGCTACTTGTTCTCATCCCAGGATAACCTTCTAGCTATAAACAGCATTAGTCAGGGAGCAAGGGGACCCAAACCCTAAACCCAGATCAGTCACTTCTTAAAATCTGGGGAAAATCAGTTCTCCTCTTTTACCTTATATGGTCTCACCTACAAACTGGGTAGCTATGGCAAGATTGTCCAACTATGAGCTCTAAAGCAGCTTCTACTTGGTCTAGACAAATAGTCTTGACATATTTATGTTCATTACTTGTTTTTGCAAGCATGTCTCAAGTGCCTGAAAGATTGCAGACATTTCTTATTTGTTGCATGTTGAATAAATGGACACAAAAGTAAGTGACTGTTAAATGAGATAAGAAAACAGGATCAGAGAACCTTCCAACACATACCAGAACCAGAAATCAGCACAGAAGTCTCACTACTGCCGTACGCCCAGGAGGTCCCAGAGGCAGGCCTGAAGAGGATAATGAGATGGTCCTCATTTGTTATGCAGAAGACTAGACCAGCCATCAAACCTAGTGGTTCTATAGAAAGATTGTCATCCTGTGAGGATCTCAAAGTCCCCTCCAATATTGCCACAGGAACATTTTAACAGAAGAAACAGATATTCCATGAAAAATAGCTGCCCATGGATGGCCTGGGAATTCTAAAAATCAAGGACCAAGAAGAGAGCTACTGGGATAGGAATGAAAACCAGAATCTCTACCATCCATTTTGCAAATAGCAAATAGAGATCAGTTTCCAGATCCACAAAGGAGCCCTTCCTTCCTTAATGCATGTGTACCACTCTTCCTCTCGACCACTGACAGCCAGTGGGTCTTGGATCTCACAAGGAGAAGACCATAAAGGCCATTGAGCTGATGCTCCTCTCCCCAGTTAATGAATCGCTGTGGTCTCTAGTGAGGTGCGGACCATCTTTTACACAACACCTCCTGCAGCTGCTAATTCTGTCTTTCCAATAAAAAGTTCTTCCTTATATAGAAACAAAATGCGGCTCCCTATAAAGCTATCTAAGGCCTCATCCCTCACTAACTCTGGCTGTTTCCAGACCATATCTCACTACTAGCTCTTACTGCATCTGTTGCCAACTTGAAATCCAGCCATTTGGTGTTTTCCAGTAATTATTACCATTTTACATAAATACTGCTGGCCTTATGGATTCACAAGATGTACCCTACTAAATCCCAGTCATTGAAAAATGGGAGAAGTTAGGCCTTCCAGGCCAGTTCCTCACTACCTCTACCTCATCACCATGCCATATTCCTGTCCTCCATGAACAAAGTTCCCCACTCTTGCTCTCCAGTTCTGCCAGATCTAAAACTGTCTCCAAGATGCAAGACTGTTCCAAGGAACATGAAAAGAAAGAGCTCTGTAGAAAAAAGGGCATCTTCCCAACTCAAGTGCTCTCAGTGGCCTGCAGGGAGGACAGTAGGATCAATCTACCCATCGTGGACCTGGGAGTTTGCTTGTGACCCCTGACAACCCCAGCATCATTCTAAACCATGTTTTCTTCACAAAAGGGCGGGAGATTTTATTTTTTTTTCTGTCACAGTTCATGGCAGATTTAAGGTACAAGTAGCAACAATGCCTCACTTTGGAAGCTTTATGGGTTAATAACTGCTTTCCCAGATAGTCTCATTTAATCCCTCTAGCAGTTACCCCTGGAGGGAGTCTTCTACCTAATTTAGTTATAGGGAAACTGTCGCACAGAGGTGTTAAGTATATTCCCAAGGTCACAGCGAAAGTAAATTCCAAAAAGAACACTGGTTTAGGGATTAGACTGTTCAAGATTCCAGGTGCACTTCTGGTAGCTATACAATCTCTGTAAACAACAGTTCATCTTTCACTAACCTTAGTTTCTACGCCTGAAAATTGGAGATTAACACAGACCCTCTGTCTACCTCTCAGGGCAGTTATGAGGATCAAATGAGATAAAGTGAGTGAAAGCCCTCTGGAGAGCGGGAAGGCGGCACAAAGTATAAGGGATCATTGTGTGATTACTTGTAAATGACTGTGCATTCCATTACAAATTCAAAAGTAGTGAGGTCATTCTCAAGACAAAGAAACATTAAGGCTCTGGAATTACAGGGCAGTAATCTGATGTTCTGCAGGTTATGCCTATACACTACTCCCTCTTGCAGCTGAAGGTCAGCAGTAACTGTCAAGTTTCCAACTGCCAAGATATACAAATCTACAGGAATGCTCAAGACAAATGCTCCCTTTTTAGCTATAAGCAAATAAGTGCCAGGCCCAAAGGAAGTAATAGAGATGGACATTTGGGAGACCCCTGAGAGTCTCAGTTCCGGAAACATGACCTGCAGTGTTTTCCTTGGAGAAGTTGTTAGAAACACAGGCTACAGTCTCTCTGCAATATGCCCATGAGGAAATAAGCATGCAGTAAGGAGCTACCGACCAGAGAGCATTGAGGGAGCTCCCAAGCACGAATTCAAGGGAACAGGATATTTCAAGTTACAGATACAAAAGATAACTTTTAACCCATTAAAAACCTCCCCAGCCCAGTTGGTGTGGCTCAGTGGTTGAGCACCGACCTATGAACTGGGAGGTCGAGGTTCGATTCCCAGGCCAGGGCACATCACAGGTTTTGGGCTAGACCTCCAGGAGGGGGCAACTGATCAATGATTATTTCATCGTTAATATTTCTATCTCTTCCTTCCCCCTCTGAAATCAATAAAAATATTAAATTTTTTTTTTTTAAAACCTCCCAGCTTGCTGAAACCAGTTTGGCTCAGTAGATAGAGCAACAGCCTGTAGACTGAAGGGTCCCGGGCTCAATTCTGGTCAAGGGCATGTACCTGGGTTGCGGGCACATCCACAGTGGGAAGTGTGCAGGAGGCAGCTGATCGATGATTCTCTCTTATTGATGTTTCTAACTCTCTATCCCTCTCCTTTCCTCTCTGTAAAAAATCAATAAAATATATATTTTAAAAAAAAAAAAAAAAAAAAAAAAAACCTCCCAGCTACTCCTTAAAATTTGAGACAAAATCTAAAGGCAGGAAAGAGGCCCATTTACATACCAGAGGTCCTGTTGCAGGTCACCTGGGGGCCAGAGGGCACCCGAGAAGATCTGAGAGTTCAGGGACTGGTCTGGCTTCTCTCAGTCCTCTCCCAACACGCTAGTCATCAGGATTCTCTTCAATTTCTGCAAAGATCCAAGTCATCAATGTCATTATAGAGGGGCTGAATTTTCCCCAGAAAGCCATTCCTAAGGCAGTTGAACACACAGCTCAATAATGATTGTTTTCTTCTTTGCATTTTGTCATCTGTTTCCTATGCTGAACACTGGAAAAAAGCACTGACTTAAAATTAATTTGTGACACAGATGTGTGGACACCAATGGCAAAGGTGGACAGTCGGGTGCAAACAGAGATAACGCAGAAAGATCAACTGACGCCCATACCATAATTGTTGCGGGCCAAGGCGTTAGAGTCATTTTTGTTTTTGTTTTTTAACACTATTAGCGTATATTTTTAGAAGTAGAGTGGTGTGTTTTGTTTGTTTGTTTGTTTGTTTGTTTTTGAGACACAAAATTTTAATTACACCATTGATAAGTTTTTTAAAAAATAGTCTCTTTGGCTCTCACTGCCAGATACTAATAATAACATAATAACTAAAAATTAATGAGTGTTTATTCTGGGCTGAGCATTGTACTAAGCAGGTTGCATACATTATGCTATTTAATCCCATCAATGATCCAGTAAGCTGACCAGTCTCATTTCTACATTACAGATGAGAAAGGAAGACTTAAAGGAAAAGTAAACTGGCCAATTCCAGAGAGAGTACGTAGAAAGGCCAGAATTAACTAACTCACAGGGTAAACAACTCCTAACCTTTCCCATTGCCCAGCTATTCTCTCTATTTCATTTATTGGATATGAAATCATCCTCATGTAACTATCACCCATTATAATCATATATAACAAACATAACCATGTCCAAAAACATTTGACAAAAGTCCTTATTTGTTTCTGTCTGCTCACCAGATCCGTGACATCAGAAACCCTGCCTGTATTCCCAGCACTGTGTACACAATGAACATTCAATAATCACTGGTATTCAGTTAGACAATGTGTTTGAAGGTTGGGCCAGGAAACTAATCTCAGTGAGGTTTTCAAGGTCCAAAGGGGATACATAGCCAAGCTGAAAGATTCAGGTCAAGTATCGTGCACACGGAGTAACCTGAAACTTCTGATGGAAGCTTCTCAGAGGCTGCCTGACCCTTGAACCTGCAGTCAGGTGCTCCCAAGGCCTCAGAGTGAGGTGCACAGAAAGCACATCTCCTTGAAAAAGAGGAAAAGTTCCAGGACCTCTTCCAACTGTGACTTTTACCAAGCCACTTTCGTTGTAATAAAAAGATGAAGGCTAGAACAATACGTTTCAAACTTTCCCAAACAACAGAGCTTTCCTTTTCAATGATAAGCTTTGCAGAAGCTCAGTTTGTAAATAACAGCAGGACTGCTCAGCCTGAGCTCCAAAAGTCCCCTTCCCTGCTATTCTCTCATCATTTGTCATCCCCCCACCCATCACCCAGCCTGACCCCAAAGCCACTCCTGGAGTATCCCAGGCTTACAACTTGTCTCTAGGACCTCTGAAATCCATGGCCATTTGGGCTTCCAAGAATGTCAACCATCACAGTCAAGAGTGTATAGAGGTATATAAAGTGAGTTTGAGAAAACTGCTGATTCAGATAATTGTATTAGATGTGACATCCTACCTCCCAGCTTCCACATGGGTGATAGTTAAACAAGAATGATTTCATCTCCAATAAATGAAGGCTTGAAAACCTCCAGCCTTCTGAGGTCTTCATAACATCTTCTGGCTCTGATCCCTATACCCTCCAAGGTCTGAGACATACCTCTGTAATAAGCAGTTCTGCATTTTTATCAGTGAGATGGGCAATATGTAATATAACAGGGAAGAACGAATTCTCAAAGTAGAAAACTTGGATTATAGTCTATTTAGGAAATGTTCTCACAAGTAAGTTATTTAAAACCTCAGTTGTTTTGGGGTTTTGTTGTTGTTTTGTTTTGTTTTTTTTGGTTTTTGTTTTTTGGTTTTGTTTTTGTTTTTGTCTATAAATGGGAAATAATATTGCTATTAACCAAATGAGGTTTTTATGAGAATTATGTTATGGAATATGTGTATACACAAACTGCTTAGCAGAATGCTACAGTAAATACTGTGTTATAATTGCTTCATCTATTATATAAATGTATCTAAGTCCACAAATGGAAAAGAATGTAGCACTGTGTCCAGGCGGAAGGAGATGCTCAATAAGAGACAGAGGCCCATCTTGTTCCTTGCATGCTCTCATGGACATTTTCAACTTAAACAAACCTAGACAGCTATAAAGAGCCAGAAGGAGGGACATATTTTGTGCCCCAAATTACCTATAACTCCTCTTTAAAAATCTTACAACTGGATCTCTGAAATTCATGGCCATTTGGGCTTCCAAGAATGTCAACCACCACAGTCAAGGATGTAGAGAGGTATAGGAAGTGAGTTTGAGAAAAATGCTGATCCAGATAACTGTATTAGATGCAGCTTCCACATCAACCAGCTAAGCAGCCTGAGAAATTCCACCTGCTCTCTGAGTCTCGATTTATCTATTTGTGAAACAGGGGTAAGAACCCTACCTTCCACCTCCCCATGATGATAAGCAAAACCAAGGAGGTGATGGGTGTGAAAACTCTTGAAAACTTCCCAACTCTATATTATAAAATATTATCATTTTTATAACTTTAAGTAAAAAAAAAAAATCAACCATTACAAACACACAAACACACACACACACACACACACACACACACACACACACACTTAGGATCTGCCCAAAACTTAGGATGTGCCCAAAACTTGGGAATCACCCCCCCTCTTTCCTTCTCAGCCTCCAAAGCCCATCCCATCAGAAGGACGAGACCCTGACCCTAATGCCAAAACATCACCAAAACTCTACAGGCCAACAGAGGACACTGCTGTGTGATAGCATTACCATGCAGAACAGCAAGCAGCTCCCCCAGAATAACTGCAGTCATGGTCACAGCACATGAACCTTGTCAGCAAGTTACTGGTTTGATTGGCAATTTTAAATAAGCACATGAGGCAAGGGCATTAATGCAGATGGGACAGTATTCACCTGACACGCCTTGTGGCCTGTGGGCTCCACAAGGGAGGACAATAACAGAAACCCTCTTTTCAAGATCTCTCTTTATAGTGAAGGCAGCTAGGACTGCTGTCTGACCACAGCACCTTCGTTTGGATGTGGAGACATTATCTGCATAGCAGGCTGCTGAGCCCTCCCCTGGAATTCTCCTTATGTCTAAGTGTTGACTGTTGGTTATCATAAGATCACAAGATACCCACCTGGCAAAACTTGGGTACCAACTAGTCCACTTCCTGTAAACAACTTGCCTGGGGCATTCATTCATTCGGAAAGCACCCAAAGTCCACTGATGCACAGCGAGAAGATAAAGCTGGACCCTGCACCAATAACTTAAAGTGGCTTCCCAGTGGCAACACATAAGTCCACATGCTTAATGTAATATCTCAAATATTTTAATAACAAAGTCTATTCCGCTATAAGCTCCTTCCCACTGCCACTCAGCACACATCCGCTGCTTATTCAGACTGAAATCTTAGTCTCCCAGGTTCTCTTACTTGACCTACTTCCCCTCCCCATCCTGAGATCCCATATAGATATCCTTTACATCCTTCTAGGCCAGTGGCAGTTCTCAACAGGAACAAAATTACTCTTTGAAGAAAGATAGTTATTTCCGCAGTGTCTCATGTGCTATAGGATATCTAGCATCACTGGCTCTGACCACTGCATGACAGTGATGGTCTGGCCTCCAGCATTGAGACAAAAACAACAAAAAACACACTCTACCACATTTATAAATACCTGTCAAAGAGATGTTCCTTACTGCTCCAATGGTGAATCACCTGACCACTGTCACTCAGCATGAAACCTCCCTTGTGTCTCAGTTCAATCAGAATAATCTCCCTTTTCTGAATTTGCTTAGCCTGCTGTCTAGGACACCAATCATGACCTTCCTTGTACTATTCTTACGATGAACTTGACTTATTCCCTTCTCCAGTGAGAGCTCCCGGTGGAAGAACCCATGACTGACCTTTGTCCAAAGTGCCAAATCTAGACCAAGCCAGGCTTACAGTAAGCATTTAAAAAACATTTGTGACCAAATTATATAAAAAGAACAACTGTCCAAGACATGACTCCCCGTAGAAGATAAAACAGAACTAAAAAACTACAAGTCAACCACTGTTGTCAAAACTTTAAAAATAAAGGGGGAGGAGAATGAAGGAATAGGAGATATCTCTAGTATTATCAACAATAAAAAATACATTTTTTAAAAACATCAAAAACAGAATTTGAATAAATGGTCTTTTTAATATTTTCAAGATACTGAGAATATTAATGTTATATATTTTATGTAAATAAAAAAAATATTAAGTAGACTGTCATACCTAACTATGGCCCAGTGCATGGATTCATGCACATTGAAAGGAAAATAATTAGAAGAAATATTTTAATATCACTATTTGCCTTTTCTCTACAACAGAAGTGTCAACCAAATTCATGATCAACAATGACAGATCGAAACGCATGAATGCAATTAGCACCAGCGAGAGCTTTATATGTATGGCACATGCACAAGTCAACATTTATTTTTAAATTGCCAGTGCACATCATATGTACTGGCTGGTCATTTGGACGGTCAGGCAGACATACAGTCAGTCACTTAGCCTATTATACATATATATTATATTAAAGTATTATAATTAATGATGCATATTAAGTATTTTGGAGTAATAACATCTTTTTGCTAAAAGAGCATTTTTAAATGAATGTGTTGGAGGCAGACACATCCTCTCAACTGGCTCAATCAGAGCTCCTTTCCCCCTCTAAAGTTCCCTCTTTCATGAAAAAAGCAGACTGCTAAAATCTATATTTCCCACGCTCCTTCAAAACTAGTAAATCAGATTCTAGCAATTAGATGTATTCATGTGAGACTTAGAAGATGAATGCAGAGCTAAATCACCCTGCTGATATTCCTAGTGGCAACCAAATATGTAGAACCCTACGAGTAAAAATGCTGCTCTACTGGGCAATACAATGTCCCGC